TATTACTAACAATACATTTGTTACTTTTACAATACATTTAAGTCACATTGCGTTTTCTATGTACGCGCGTCATCTACCGACAAGTATGTAGACTACTAATACTCTCGCATACAAGATCTCAATGAAAGAAGCAGCATATTACAAGACAGCATATAATTAACCGTATTATAGGTTATACGAAGATCCAACATTACCAAGTTGGCGACGAACATTGGATTACCATGAAGGATTAATTAGAGCAACATATCTACACTTTACGGGTTAGGATATGAAATACAAGTGGAATAGAAGTTGTGCTCAAACACAAAAAGTGGTAAATAGAGGTATATAAACGGAGAGAGATAGATACATAAACAGATAGACAGAGAGAAATGGGTGCTTTGCAATTCTTATATGTATGTACGAAAGCGTTGTAAACGCACACACTCTCACAACACAAGAGATACAAGCACATTCTATTGACGATTACATCACGAAAAACAAAGAAACAAAAAAGAATATATATTTTTTATCATTTCGTTTTATCTAAAACGAAATATCCACAGACAAGTAGAAAAGGTGAGCTGCCATACACTAACTAATAGGAGTTCATATTTATGAATATACATTATTTTTATCATTCTATCTTCACAATCCAATGCCCCCCCCCCCCGTCTCTCTCTTTCGCCTTTTACGATAAAATTCCGATATTCTAAATCTTTCCCGAATGGCTCCTTATCTGTCGGGATCTATACATCATGTATCTTAAATTCCGTTTGGTTCAAATACTATGACGAATTTCACCTTTATACATCATGTATCTTAAATTCTGTTTGGTTCAAATACTATCATTTTTGTCAGAATTGTTAATACAAATGACTATATTTACGTCCACGGAATCGAAATCAGAACCAAAGGAACTGGGGAATCGAACCCCAGTACCTCCGCCTCCAGAACATGTTGAACATGAACCTCTTAGCCATCTGACTGTTTAGTGCTTTGCAATTCAGAACTGATGAGCTGCAGTTTTTACAGTTTACTTTTGGTTTGTTTGTTTGTCTTTGTTTTGAGATGTAATTTTCATTTGAATATGTTTAGCCTGTATATATTTTACGTGTGAAACAGCGGGTGCAATTGCCTGTCAGCGTACGTTTGTAACTACAGACCAATTTACTTTTATAAAAGGAAAGGATTAAAGATGAGAGAAGGGTGGAAACAGAGATGATAGATGGAAAGTGAGAGAAGGATAAGAAAAAGCATCATGCTATGGTTGAAAACAATAGTGACAATACCGCTAACTATTGGAATAAAAGTGGGTAGGTTGATCAGAATACCATATATCAATATAATAATAGCAAATTGACAAATTGAAGGGATCATAAAATCAGTAGAATTCGACTATGACCATTTAGCGATTCTCTTTGACTCGCATTGTATCACATTTCAAAGTTAATATTTAACAAGAACTAATAGTTACATTGCAATAGACCAATGTTAATAATCCACGGTGATAATACAATAAATTATTTATTGCAGTGAATCTCAACCATATAGTTGCTGTAATATTACACATTTTACATATTTTGTATGTACACTTGACACCCTCTACGTTTGTTATCATCGCGTGAACTGTGAAGACGCAAGTAATCCATTCCATTGCCGATGCAGACTTTTTAAAACAAATGTAGAATTGCAATATTGCTGTCTGCGTCTCCTTAGGACAATTTAAAGATAGTCCTTTCGAGTGTGGGCCGCCTCCCTCATGAAACTCTATCTGAGTCATGGACAAATATCGGGTGTTTAAGACATTTTCGTGAAAACGTATAGACAAAATTGCGGAGTCAAAGATTTTCTATTTATCAAATGCAAATCCCAGAGTATGATTATGCGTGAATACCACCCCTGGAGCGCACTGCGAGAGTCTGAGACGATCTGATACTTTTTCAGACACTAAACCTATTCTGCAGTGCTTATATGCCATATTTGAGCTCTTAAAGTACTTCTACTGATCACTCTGGGTTGCCAGTACTTTTGGTAATGGCGGTTGATCCTTTCCTAGTACAAATGGACTAAAAGCATCAAAGTGTCTTCCAAATTGTGATAAGTGCTGAACAAATCCACATCTCTAAATCGACTCTAAATCGGTGATTTGCTTCCAGCCAAAAGCGATACTCATTGAGAACTTACAGCAAAGGCATATATTTGCAAACTAGACAACTCTACATTCCTGCTGTGTACACCCAATTGAATTTCTAGCCGCGCGGACCTTCCCATCCTCCTCCGCCGGGACCGATACGTGTCACAGGCGGTGATGGTTACATCTGCTATGCACGTTAATGTGGGATATCAATTTATAATCATTGCTTTACTTTTGATGTTTATGTAACTGTATCAACAAGTAAGGATATATTTGTAATATATGAGGCTACATTTTTAGAAATGCCATTCAGGCACTTCGTAATAGATTCAGACATAAAAGGATTCCTTTGGCAGTAAATGAACAGCTAGCCATGCATGAGTCCCCACACGTTCACAAGACTTGTTTCCATATGTTCAGCTTGTAGATCACATAAGGAAACCAACTGATGCGAGCGCGCGTGTGTGTGCATATCTCCTGCAATGCCCTCTGCCAAGTCTGTATGCAGACGTACCAGAGAGAGATTTTAACCATCAGAAATGCTGTACCATAGGTTTGGATGTGTTTAGAAATATGTCCCTTTCAGAGACCTTGTCATATTGGTAACCCATGCTTCCCAAATGACTTACCACGAAAAATATTCATTTGTGGGACATAGAAAAGGGATTCAGTAATAAACAAATGCGATATTTTTGTTTATTGTACACATAAAGCTTGACCATTTGGTTCATAATACTGTATGTAGATATAAACACTGATGCACACCGACTACACAAAGCTATTCAACCATAATTTTTTCTTTCTAAAAACTAGTGATAGTCAAAGACAGACTGGAACTGTGCGGGACCTGACCAAAAAGGTATTTTATGTCCAGTCTCTATATTTTTTGCTGGTAGAATTTTACTTTAGTTTCCCCTGATGACTACAAGGTGCTCTTTATGTTTAATCGAAAAATTTCGTAAGGATGTTTTCGATCTGAGAAATAAAAGCATTTTCTTAGCATCTGTACAAAATTGATCAAGTTATTTCTAAATGTGGAACGCTTGCCTTTTTTCTCACTGTGTTGCTAAACCTGGAATTTTGGGAATTCAATCTCACAGTTTGTTTAAGAATATTCCTAAAAAAAAATAATATCCAAGATTTTATAGATATATACATTTGTCTCTTTTCCATACTTATTCTTTCCTTATGTTTTCTCTAATGCTGACATTGCCTTTGTGAATATATGTTAATAAATTATTTTAGAAGTAGTCTTGACTAGGAACAAAATATACATAACGCCACACACCAGTACACCACGACTTGCGAAATCCCAGACAATTTTCTCCGAGCATATTTACAATTTTGATTACAATTTGGATACAGATTCATTATTTCATCCTTCAAAGTATCCTGCAGCCAAATAAGAATACTTACGCGGCAGGAAAGCCACATATGCAAAAGGGGGTTATCAAAGTCAGCCCATTTGGAACAAGTCAAGCCAAAAACGCCCTTAGTAACACAGTAAAATTGGAAACACACACAACAGCCTTTCTATTTGGCTGAGGATCATTATATAAAAACTATGAGACTAGAACCTTCCATTTGACTGTTTTCTCTTCTACATTCTATACAGAAAAAATGGCAAAATTAAAAATGTTTTTTTTTTTTTTTTTAACAAAATGCTTAACAAATTTGAGTGTCAACTATTCTTCTAATGTCTTGGGTTAAAATGTTTTGTGATTCTTTTTTTATAAACGTTTGACAGACTTCTTGTATTATCTATCATTATGTCCTGCAGGATAACGAAAAAAGAATTTGTTCAACAACTTCACTTATCGTTGAATATAGTTCATTGTTCTTAATTCATGGTAGAAGATAAAAATTAACGATGGATTCATAAGTAAAGAGATTAAGATTTACATAAAATGCCCATTCAGATACCTTAATGTTAAAATTTACAAAGAATACCCTTTGACTTACTCATGTAACGATTATCCTAATAAAACAGTAATTAAAGTTTAATAATACAGTGAATTCTCTGTGCAGGAACCCACATCCGTGTGAGAAAATTGTCAAATTATGTTTACAAAATTATCTTTTTTATAGAATCTATAATTATGTACATGACTATGATTCAGAAGCGGTTTAGATCATTTGTTTACATTTTTTTCTGAACATTTTAGAACAATACGAAATAATAGAAAAAAGAAAAAAGCTACGATGTTTTTCCTCCTTATTTGAACTAGTGTCACTCGTTTTGAGAAAAAGGCCTAAAAGTTTTTATTCTCCTTTTTTAAAAACTCGTGAATCTCCATTGTACTGTATATCCTTTCTATATTCTAAAAGAAGGAGAACCAGGAATGAAATAGGTGATAAACCTCTCCGTCTCGCTCCCTACCTTTCTCACTTCCTCTCTCTACTTTCTGTTTCTCTCTCTCTTCATTTCTTCCTTTCTCTTTCGCCCTCTCCCTTTCTTTCTTTCTCTCCCCTTTCAAGTTTCTCTCTCTCTCTCTCGCTCTCCCTTTTCTCTCTCTCTTTCTCTCTCTCTCTCTCTCCCTCTCTCTCTCTTCTCTCTCTCTCTCCTCTCGCTCTTTCCTCTCTCTCTCTCTCTCTTTCTCTCTCACTCACTCACTTACTCACTCACTCACATACACACACACACACACATACCAAACCCAAAACAAACGAAACAATACCACAGGAAAATACAAAAAAGAAAACAAAATTACAAAACAACAACAAACCACCATCTCATCCCCACTATAACCCCACTTTTCCCCCTATCCCTCGACCATCCTCACCAAACCCCTATCCCTCCTTCCCCACCCCCCTCCCTCCCTCCCCAACTAAACCACCGAACCACCGAACCACCTGAACCACCGAACCACCGAGACCAACAACCTCAACTCTTGTACATGTCGCACAGGATCTTTTCCATGGGCGTGTTGCCGATGGTGGCCGTGAAGAAGAGCGCCTGCACCCGAGGAGGAGGCGGAGATCTGAGCGTCGCCAGCAGGAGGAGCAGGCGGCCGAAGCGAGCAGGGCGGGCGGGGTAGTGCGCCCTCACGTGTTGGCTGAGCATCACCTGAGCTTGGTCCTGGCAGCGACTCCACCTGCGCGGCGTCCTTCAGGCCTCGGACTGCGGGGGTGAGGGGGGGGGTGTTATTGATGTTGCTGTTGTTATTATCATCATTGTTATTATTATTATTATATTTACTATTATTATTATTTTTTTATTATTACTATTATTATTATTATTATTATTATTATTATTATTATTATTATTATTATTATTGTCATTATAATTATTATCATCACTATAATTATCATCATCATCATCATTACCACCATTATCATCATAATCACCATCGTTATTGTTATCATTATCACCATCATTATCATCATCATATAACTGATAATTTTTTTATTAACATAATCATTATGATGATGATTACCATCCTTTTATACAAAAGTGTATTATTATCATGATCATTATCGTTATCATTTCCATTACCATTTACCATTATCATCATTATCGTCTTCATCATCATTATCCTTCTTAATACTGTTGCTGTAATTATTTGTCATTATTATCGATTTGTTGATATTGTATATAATCATCCTTAATTTTTATGAAGTGTAGCGATTTTTGAGCATTTGTGGAGAGAAGGTGAAGGAAGGGAAGAGGGAAAGAAAATGAGAAAGAAGAGTAAAGAGAGGAAGAAGGAGAGTAAAAGTGGACGAGGGAAAGACAAAGAAAAAAAAGTGCGGAGGGGAAACTAACTTAAAAAAACAAAAGAGATTGACAAGAAAAGGAAATGAAGGCTCAAGCAACTTTCGCAAAAGTTAAAATTCGCTAAAAAGACAAAGGAGGAACAGAGAATAAAGAGGATGGGATGATAAAGGAGAATAAGAAAGAGAAAAACATCAACGACAACAAAAAACAGAAACAATGATGAAAAAAAAAGTAAATCAATACACCCAGCTATTCACAAATTCAGATTTAAAATGGACAACAAACAAGAAATATGGGAAAGATAGATAAAAAAATGAAAAAAAGGAAATAAAACAGGTAAACAAACTGGAAAAAGAAGGAAACCCACCCGGTCTGAAGAGGACGATGGCCTTCAAGTAAGCGAACTCCGCCGGGTCGACCGCCAAGTCCCTGAAAGCCCCCGCCACTTCAGAGAGCTGTCTGATGTCGTGGGCGGCCTGGGCTGCTTTGTGGGCGTGGGCAAGGGCGTGAGCGTGGGCGGAGGGCGAGAGAAGGGGGCACGTGGGCAGCGGCAGAGACCACTGGACTGCGTTCAGGACAAAGAGCTCTGACCACACCTCCTCCAGGAGAACGACCTGAAGAAGGGAAGGGGTTTGAGTCAGGTGGCGGGGGGGGGGGGGGGTTCTCTCCCCTTGGCTCGGCTGTGGGGGGAGGGAGGCGAGAGATTATGGCATTTGCTTTCTGTTTGATAATATATATATATATATATATATATATATATATATATATATATATATATATACATTTATTATTTATTTATTATTATATTATTATTTTTTATCTTATTATTATTATTTTTTATTCATTTTTTAGTTTTACTTTTTTTCTTTCTTTTTTTTACTTATATTTTAATGGGGTTTGTTGGTCCATATACTTTTGTCTGTTTATAAATCTATCATACTTTTGTGATTTGTCTCTCTCTCTTTCTCTCTCTCTCTCTCTCTCTCTCTCTCTCTCTCTCTCTCTCTCTCTCTCTCCTCTCTCTCTCTCTCTCTCTCGCCCTCTCCTCCTATCTTTCTCTCTCCCTCCTATTACCTCTCTCTCTCTCTCTCTCTCTCTCTTCTCTCTCTCTCTCTCTCCTCTCTCTCTCTCTCTCTCTCTCTCTCTCTCTCTCTTCTCTCTCTTCTCTCTCTCTCTTCCTCCTCTCTCACTCAACTCTCCCTCTGGCCTTTAGTCCTACTCTCTTTTCTCACCTCTTCTACCTCCTCCCTCATTTTCCCCTTATACCATCTCTCCTCCCCTCTATCCTTCCCTATTCTCATCATCCTCTCTTCATTTCCCTCGCCCTCTTCCCCCTCTTCCATCTTCTCTCCCTCTCATACGTCTTTTATCCTCTTTCCCTCCCCTATCTCCTTCCCTCACTTCCCTCTTTCTCTCTCTCCTCTATTTCCCCCGTTCTTGCCCCTTTTTTCCCAACTCCCCTCTCCCTTCCTCTCTTCGATACCTTCTATTCATTCCCCCTTCCCTCTCTCTCTCCCCCCATCCCATCTTCTGTTCTTTCCCTTCTCCCTCTCCTCCCACCCCATCTTCTATTCTTCCCCCTCTCCTCCTACTCCATCTTCTATTCATTCCCCTCTCCCTCTCCCTCATCCTATCTTCTGTCTTTACCCTCTCCCTCTCCTCCCACTCTATGTTATCCCCTCTCCCCCTTCCCCCCCACCCTTGCTTCCCTCCCCCCCTTTCCCCCTTCCCCACCCCACCCTTGCTTCCCCTCCCCCTTTCCCTTTCCCCACCCCACCCCTTTGCCCCCACCCCACCCTCGCTTTCCCTTCCCTTCCCCCTTTGCCCCCCACCCCACCCTCGCTTTCCCTCCCCTTCCCCCCTTTTGCCCCCTACCCACCCTCGCTTTCCCTCCCCTTCCCCCTTTGCCCCACCCCACCCTCGCTTTCCCTCCCCCCTTCCCCCTTTGCCCCCACCCCACCCTCGCTTTCCCCTCCCCTTCCCCCCTTTGCCCCCTACCCATCCTCGCTTTCCCTCCCCCCTACCCCCCTTTCCCCCACCCCACCCTCGCTTTCCTCCCTCCCCCCACACCTCGCTTTCCCTCCCCCCTCCCCCCACCACCCTCGCTTTCCCTTCCCCCTTCCCCCTCCCCCCCCTCGCTTTCCCTCCCCCCCCCCGCTCACCTGGTCTCTGAAGGGCAAACTGCTGAACGACGGCAGGTTCTTCGCCCACTTGACCGCCATGAAGAGCAGTCTGGCCGCGGTCTCCTGCACGGACTCCTGCAGGGGATCCCACAGGGGCGCGGGCTCGACGTAGGAGGCGCCGGAGGAGGAGGAGGAGGAGGAGCAGGAGGAGACGGGCGGCGGCAGGTGGGGGGCCACGGTGCCCGGGGGATCCTCGCTCCCCGCCCCGCCCCCCGTCACGTCCACGGGGGAGTCGACGCTGCGGACCCCTGGGGGAGGAGGGGGGGAGGGGGGAATGTGGATCAATGTTAGATAAATCTTCTTTCTCATTTGTGACAGATGTGTGAAGTTATTAAAGAGACGATGAGGATGATACAGGAAATAGGATTTTGTGATAGGGATGTTGATGCTGACCGATAACATTTGTTACTGTTATAAAAGATAAGGGAAATTTATAATAGCGTTGAAGATGATAGGAGTAACTACAATATCAAAATAAAAATGACAGCAGTAACTATAATGACTGTAATATAAGAACAGTAATAATAATCATAATAAAGACTGTAATGATTATCATGACAGTGATGATAATGATAATAATAACTACATTAATAATGATAATAATAATAATAATGATAGTAATAATAGTAATAATAATATAATGATAATAATAATAATAGTAATAATGATGATAAAAATAATTATAATGATAATAACAATAATGATAACGGTAGTAGTAATGAGGATGATAATAATGGTGGAAAAAATAATAAAGTATATAACAATAATGATGTTGATTATCACTACAGCAATAAAGAATATATCACTATCAGCAATAGTAAAAAAATAACAAAACAAAGCAATGGCAGCGACAACGATGAATAATGAATGATAAAGACAATGCTAATGATATTATTAATGACAAAAATGATAATAAAGGTAATAACAACGATGATGATGATGATGATATCAATGATCGTTTCTTTCGTCAAATTTTCTTTCTTTATGTGTTTATATTCAACCCATTTTTTTCTTTCATTTATATAATTACAAGTCACGTTTCCCTTTTCTTACGATCTCGATAAAAAAAAAAAAAAAAAATCGAAAAATTGACAGCTTATAAATCCAGTTCGATTTCTTTGCAACCGAATAAAACCGATGCAGGAAGAGAAACAAAATAAAACTTTTAAAATTGACCTTACAAAATATAATGTACATTAAATGCGTGGAATAAAAGAGATCATAATTCTTTTGCAGTCTTTTCCCCTGGTCGTTCTGTGAGCTGATTGGCTGATGTCTTAATAAGCCACGCCCACTTCCATTCATCCAGGTAACTTTGTCCTATAGATGAACTATATATTTTTCAGGTGATTTGTCAAAGATAATTATGTAATATCAAGATAGGAAGAGAATTATGATTATCCTTATCATCATCACTAGCATTGCTATCACCTTGATTATCATTATTATTTTTGTTATCTTAACTTTATTGTTATTCTTATTCTTATCCTTACTCTCCTCATTGCCTTTATTATTCATTATCATCATTACCATCAGTACCAACATTATCAACAATACCATATCTACCACAATTACATGCTTATCGTTATCACCATCATGACCATGACCATGCCAACCCACCCCAGTCCCCGTGCTAACCCATCTCAATTCCCCGTGCCAACCCACCCCAAGCCCCCCGTGCCAACCCACCCCAATTCCCCGTGCCAACCCACCCCAGTCCCCCGTGCCAACCCACCATGGTCGTGCTCCTCCTTGGTGGGCGAGAGCGGTCGCAGGCCGGCCACGAGGACGCCTCCGGCGCCGTTGGTCGCCCCCGACATGTGGTTGATGGTCGCCGGGTTGTTGTTGTTGTTGTTGCTGGAGGACGACGAGGAGTTGCCGGAGGAGGAGGAGGAGGTGGAGGACGAGGGGGGCGGAGGAGGAGGGGGGTGCGTGACGCCGGCCGCCGCCGCCGCCGCTGCTGCTGCTGGCGCTGACGTGATGGAGGCGAGGGCGTGGTGGGCGTGCGTGGTGGTGAAGGGGAGGTGGTGATGGAGGGGGGGGAGAGGAACCCCCTGGAGCCCCCCATGGCGGCGGAGACGAGGCCCGGGAGCGGCAGCGGAGGCCTACTGAGGGGAAACAGGTTCTCGTTATGAGCGTGTGGACGAGAGGGGGGCGTGGCCTCGAGGCGGCCGACTCCTTTCCTTAACGCTACGGCCTTGTGATCTCATCTCGTGTTTTTCAGTGTCTATGTTCCTGATTTATTCTATTATCTATCCACCTCTTCTCTCTCTCTCTCTCTCTCTCTCTCTCTCTCTCTCTCTCTCTCTCTCTCTCTCTCTCTCTCTCTCTCTCTCTCTCTCTCTCTCTCTCTCTTTCTTTTACTTGCTCTATCTCATAATTTTTCACAAATATTGATTTCCTATATAAGCATGATGAAATTCGATGAACTGACATGAAATGAGAGAGAGAGAGAGAGAGAGAGAGAGAGAGAGAGAGAGAGAGAGAGAGAGAGAGAGAGAAGAGAGAGAGAGAGAGAGAGAGAGAAGAGAGAGAGAGACAGAGAGAGAGAGAGATAGATAGATAGAGATAGATAGATGGAGAGAGAGAGAGAGACTGTTGGGAGAAGTAATCGGGCAGACTAGTTAAGAAAGAGTCACAAAACCAGACATGTAAACAAAAAGGGAAGACAAAGGCAGACAGAGAAAAACACACAAAAAAGAAAGTAAAAAACAAAATAATCGAAGAAGAAGAAGACCAATAAGAAGAAGAAGAAGAAAGGAGAAGGAGAAAGCAAGAACTCAGATCTTACGTGAAGACTCCCACGGCCACGGCAGCCTCCCTCAAGAGCCTCTCCTGGTCCATTTCGGCGAAGGCTTCAGGTCTTATGGTGGCTGTGTTCCTGGGCTGTCTCTCGTTCTGAACCGCTGTGGGATCAGCAACAGCGAAAACGACATCCAGTTAACGTATTTTGGATTCATTGTGCGAGTGTTCTGTGTGTTTTCGTGGTCTTAAACAACAGTTAACGTGTTTTGGATTCATTGTGCGAGTGTTCTGTGTTTTCGTGGTCTTAAAATGCAGTTAACGTATTTTGGATTCATTGTGCGAGTGTTCTGTGTGTTTTCGTGGTCTTAAGACGGCATACAGTTAAAACGTATTTTGGATTCACTGTGCGAGTGTTGTGTGTGTTTTCGTGGTCTTAAAACGACATCCAGTTATTTTGGATTTATTGTGCGTGTTCTGTGTGTTTTCATGGTCTTAGAAGTCAGTGTAGTAGGGAAAAAAAGGCCTTTGTTTTGGGGTAGGAGAATGTGCGGAAGTTGTTTAGGGGAGACTATGTTACGCTTTACGTGTTTTTCTATGTGGCCATTTTTGTATATTAATTAATTTATTATGTTTTTTCGGTGTGGTTTATAATTTCTATAATGAGTGTCTAAGAAAAAGAGCCTTTTGTTAGGGTGAAAAAATGTGGGTTACTTGTTTTCATCTGTTCATGATGTTATTTCGGTGTGGTTTACGATTTCTATGCGCTTCACCCGATTCTTTTGTTTCGAGTTAGTTTTTGTTCATTCGATATCAACATTTCTTATTTTGCTTACAGCCAATTTATGGATGAAGCGTAATCACTATTATTTTTTTAATCAACTGACAAAATCGTTATGATTTAAAACTACATTGACTAAGAATGAAGATTTTACAACAAATGCAACATTAATAACTTCTATCAAATGAGGCTAAGAAAATGGAACATAACGATTATGAAAAAGCTAAGAGAACAGCAGTAATGATAACAATAACAGTATTAATATTATTCTTAGTATTAATAACCATAATAACAATTAATATAATAGCAATAATATTAATTGTGATAATGATAATAATAATAATGATAATCATGATAATAATAATAATAATAATAATAATAATAATAATAATAATAATAATAATAATAATAATAATAATAATAATAATAATAATAATAATAATAAGTATAATAATAATAACAATGATAGTAATAAGGATAATATTTATAAGATAAATAATAAAGATGATAATGATGCTACTACTACTACTAATAATAATGGCAATAAGAATGATAATAATGATAAAATAACAACACTTACAAATATAGCCATAACGATGAAATAAGAAAAAGAAAATGGTAATGATTACAACAATCATCATTATCATTGAAAAATATTTTGATAATGATAACAACGAAAATCAACAACAGCCAAAATGATAATGATGATTATAATGACGATGATATAGATAAAAATGATAATAATAAAATTAACGATAATGATAATAAAAAATAATAATGAAAATAATGAAAATAATAACAATAATAGAAAAAGTAATAAAGAATGACAATACAAAGAATGGAATAATGGTGACAGTAATGATAATATTACAAATGATAATGACTATAATATTGATAACAATAACGATACTAATAATAACAATGATAATGATAACGACAATAATAAATTGAATAATAACTAAATTAATATGTGATAATGTTAATGATGATAACGACGACGACGATGATGATGATGATGATATAATGATAATAATGATGGTGATGATAATAATAGTAATAATAATAGTAATAATACCAATAATAATAATGATAATAATAATAATGATAATAACGATAATGATGATGATAATAATGATAATAACGATAATGATGATGATAATAATGATAATGATAATAGTAATGATAATAAAGATAACAATAATAATAATAGCAAGAAAAGGATAATAATAATAATAACAGTAATGAAAAAGATAATAAGGATAGTAAGAAATAGTGATGATAATAAAGATGATAACAACAATGACGGAGCAAATGAAAATAATATTGATAAAAAAGTGATAATGAAAATAATGATGATAATGATGGTGAAGGCCATGAAAACTAATCATAGTAACGATAAGGATGATAAGAATAATGAAAATAATAATGATGTAAAAAATAATAATGATAACCACAATATTGATGATAATAATGATATCAATAATGATATTTATATTAATGATAACAATAGTAACATTTATCATTCCTTTCATTCCCATTGTTGTTATTATGATTATAATTTTTATCATTATCATTATCAGCATCATCTTTATTGTTACTATTATTAATAATATTATCATTACTATCATCATTATTACTATTACTATTGCTATTATTATCATTATCATTACTATGATGATGATGATGATAACAATCATGATGATAATAATAATGATTATGACAATGATATTAATGATAATAGTAATAATAATAATAATAATAATAAGCATAAGAATAATTAATGATATGACAATGATATAATGATAATATAATAATAAAATAAGAATATTAATGATAATAATAATAATAATAATAATAATAATAATAATAATAATAATAATAATAATAATAATAATAATAATTAATAATAATAATAATAATAATAATAATAATAATAATAATAATAATAATAATAATAATAATAATAACAACAACAATAATAATGACAATAATGATAATAATAATAACACTAAAATAATAATAATGATAAAGATTATAAAGATGGCAATGACAATAATAATAATGATCAGAAAAAAATAATGATAATAATAATAATGATGATAATAATAATAATAATAATAATACAAAAATAATAGTAATAATAATGATAGTAATGATAATAATGATAATGATAAATGATAAAATAATATAATAATAATAATAATAATATAATAATAATAATAATAATAATAATAATAATAATAATAATAATAATGATAATAATAATAATAATAATAATAATAATAATAATAATGATAATAATAATAATATTAACAATGAAAATAATAATGATGATGATAGTAATTAAAACACCAACAATAATGATAATAACAATAACAATAATAATGATAATAGTAGAATAATAACAACAATGATAAAAAATAATCATAGAGATAATAACAATAATAGAAACAAAAATGATAATAATACTTATGATGATAATAATAATGACGATAATGATAATGATAATAGTAATGATAAAAATGCTAATAGTAGTAGTAGTAGTAACAAGGATAGTATTAATGATGATGGTGCTGCTAATGCTAATACTGAAGATTATAATATTGATAGTAAGTATGATGATAATAATAGTGATGATAACAATAATACTAATAATTCAATTATAATATTAATCTTGAGAGTAATTGTTATATAGATAATAACAATGAAAAGTAAATGATAACGATAATGACAATGATAATAGTAATACTAATACTAGTGATAGTGATGATAATAATAATCAATAATGAAAATGATAATAATAATGATAATGATAATATAATAATAATGATAATGATAAAGATAATAATATGATATAATAATAATAATAATAATAATAATAATAATAATATATAATAATATAAAAAAAAAATAATATATTAATAATAATTAATAATAATAATAATGATAATAATAATAATAATGATAATGATAATGATTAATAATGATAATGATAATGATAATGATATATGATAATGATAATGATAATGATAATGATATGATAATGATAATAATTGATAATGATAATGATAATGAAGATAATAATAATAATAATAATAATAATAATAATAATAATAATAACAATTATTATTATTATCATTATTATAAGAAATATAATAATGCAAATAAAAGTAATAATCATAATGACAATAAAAGGAAAAAGTTAGTGAGATTGATGATAACATTAGTAATACTAATGAAAATGATAGTAATGTCAATAATAACGATACTAATAGCAATAGTAATAATCATAATGATAATGATGATAATGATTATGATAATAATAATAATATAATAATGATAATAACGATAATAATGGTAATGATAAGAATGATAATGATAATGATGATTATGATAATAATAATAGCAATAATGCTAATAGTAATAACAATTATGAAGATAATGATAACAGTGATATGAATGAATATGAATAAGAATGATAACAATAATGATGATGATAACAATAATGATAATAAGAATAAAAATGATAATAGTAATAATACTAATGATAACAATGGAAATAGCAGTAATGATTATAATGATGATGACAAGATTGATAAGGCTAATGATAATCATATCTTATATCAAGAATGATGATGATGATAATGATAATGATAATGATGATAATAGTGATAATAATAATAATAGCAAAAACAATAATGATAATGATGATAATGATGATCATAATATAAACAACAGTAATAATAATAATGAAAATAATAACTATAGGATGATGATGATAACAACAACAATAGTAACAATAATAATGAAAGCGATAATGATGATAATAATCATAATACTAGTAATTATAAGGATGATAATAATAACATTGATAAAAAAATATTACGATTTTAGGACTTTACAGATGTTCAGATAACAAAATTAAGATATAAAAATTATAGTATAGTGAGGTAAATTCAGAAGTATTTTTTCGATAACATGGAGAGATTCCTTTATATATTGTATAGTCTCACCATGCATCTTTTTTTCTTTCGTTTTCTCTTCCAGTTTTCTTTCTTTCGATTTACTTATAATTTTACAAGAACGCCTATCCCGTTTTCTTTTCGAGATCATCCCGTGTTACTAACTTCTTGTCTATTACATTTTTGCTTCTTTGCCTCTTAAAAACATCTTAGCATTTTTCTAAGTATTGATATAATAGAATCACGGCAGAGAGAAATAATTAAACCCTTTGACAATAGGTTTTCAGATTAAAAACCACATGTTTGAAACGAGCGAAATATTTCAAATACTTTACGCTTGTACCCTGTTTTGCCTCCAAGACCTGATAATCTAATTTGTTTTGATAAACGTATTTCCTTAATAGGACTTTTACAATTTCTCCTTTTTGCCACATTTTTTCCTAATAATAATAATAAAGATGGTATTGACAATAATGATAATTTTATATCTTGGTAATAAGAACTTATAGATATTTACAATAATAACAATAATGACAGTGATAGTAAGACTAATGATGATAATAATGGCAATAACAATGATGATAACAATAATATTTGATGATGATGACAGCAACAGTAACAACAGTAACGATAATGATAATAATCATATCAGTAATGATAATTATAATAATTATGGAAATAATAATAACAATGATAATAACAAAATTGATAATACTGATACTAATAATGATGATAATGAAAATGATAATGATGATGATAATAATAATTATAATGATAATAACGATAAAAATGATAACAATCATAATAACAGTAATAAAATGATTAATATAACAACAAGGATAATGATAATAATCTAAATGATAAAAATAACGATAATGACTTTACGGTAATAATAATAACAGTGATATTCATAAGATAAAAATGACACTACTACTACTACTACTACCATTTTGCTAGATGTGAAAATGATCGATATAACCAATAGGATAATAATGATGATACTAATGATGAAAATGATCATAAGAATAATAGAAGCAACAATAACAATGATCATGGAAATAATGATAATAATGATAATAATTCTAAAAATGATATCAGTAATGATAATGGTAATAATCATAATGATAACAACAAAAATAATAATGATGATAATAACAATGACAATGATGATAATAACGATAATAATAGTGATAATAATAACAATAATGATAATAATAATAATAATGATAATGATAATAATAATAATAATGATATAATTAATAATGATGATGATAATGATAATAATAATAATAATAATGATAATAATAATAATAATAATAATAATAATAATAATAATAATAATAATAATGATAATAATAATGATGATGATAATAATGATAATAAATAATAGCAACCATAAATCTAATCATAACTATTATAAGATGATAACATATAAGAACAGCGAGAGACAAACAGCGTTAACAAAAAGGCGAGCGTTTAGGCCTTACCATCTTTGTTCATGCCCATCTGCAGGCACTTCTTGAGTCTGCATGCCTGGCACTGGTTCCTGTGTGCCTTGTCTACCACGCAGGCACCCGTTCCTGCTTGGCACCTGCGTCAGAGGGAGAGGGGAGAGGGAGAGGTGAAGGTGGGTGAGGTTGGGCGGTTTGGGGTTTATTGTTAATGTATAAAGATACACAAATACATAAATAAATATAAATAAATAGATAGATAAATATGTGTAAATATACACAAACACGAATACAGCAATGGACATAGGCATGCAATCTCTAACATACATATACACAGACACATCACAAACGCACAAACGAATATAATACTCACAGACACACGTGCGCATCCCAAACACACACGCACACACACACGGACACACACACAGACACACACAGCAATACAAACACACACACAAAAACGAAATAAACTCAAGATAAACCAACAAGAACGAAGAAACCCCAAAAGAATTACCCGTAGAAAACAAAACGAAAATGAAATAAACTAACAAAAACGGAGAACAAAAGTAAGACGAAACAAACCAACAATAACGAAGAACAAAAGACAAGACGAACCAAACCAAACCAGCACAAAAACCAGCAAGAACACATCAACAACAAAAAAATCAAAGACAAGACGAACCAAACCAAACCAGCAAAAAAAAAAAAAAAAAAAAAAAGAAACACTCACCTATAGATCAGCTTCCTCCTGACCGACCTCTTGAAGAAGCCCGAGCAGCCGTTGCAGGCCAGGATCCCGTAGTGCTTTCCTGACGAAGTGTCGCCGCACACGAGGCACTGGAGGCCCGGTGACACGCGCCGCCCACCTCCCACGCCCATGCTACTCACGCCCACGCTGCCTGGAGAGAGAGAGAGAGAGGGGGGGGTTAGAGAAAGGGAGATTTTTCGGGATGAATGAGGAAAGAGGGAAAGGTAGGAATGAAAGGGGAGAGGGAGAAAGGGAGGGAAGAGGGAAGGAAGGGAAGGAGGCAGAAAGACAGAAAGAGAGGGAGAGAGAGAGAGAGAGAGAGAGAGGAGAGAGAGAGAGAGAGAGAGAGAGAGAGAGAGAGAGAGAGAGAGAGAGAGAGAGAGAGAGAGAGAGAGAGAGAGAGAAAGGGGGGAAAGAGATAGATAGATAGATAGATAGAGAGAGAGAGAGACTTGAAACTACACTGTAAACATACCAATTATAAGCCTGAAACAATATCCATCCCATAACTCAGACACAAAGAAACAAAATACATATATTTTCACCCTTGACAATCCCTCACAACCACAATCCATTTTTTTGAATTATTAAAACAATCCCCTCCCCCCTCAAAAATAGATAAATGAATAAATAAAAATATAAATATAATATGAAATAATCAATAAAATAAATACATAAAATATGATTTTAGGTCTTTTACCATTGCTAATTTTTTTCCCTTTGTAATATATTTTATTCTTTTATCTAATTCCTTTCTTTCGTTTATCACACCTTATAGTTATTCATTTCTATAATATCTTATATTTGTTGATTTTTAGCCCACCATCATGAAATAAAACTACCAATTTTTTTTCATCTTATCTATCAATAAATTAATTTGCTTTATCCATTTTTTATCATTATTTTTTTTTATTCCAACTTATCTAACCAGGGATCATATTGTTTTATCCGTCTTTTATCTTTTTCTTATTTTCTAAAATCAATAATCTTTTTTTTCTTTCTTTCTTTTTTAGATCAATATCTACCATTCCATCTTATTCATCCATAAACCATCCATTAACTTTTTATTTTATTTTTTTTCTATTTTTAAAATGAATCTTCTAATTTTTATGAAATAATAATTATTTTATTCGATCTTATTCATCCAGAAATTCCCTCGTTCTATCCATCATTTATATCTTTTTATCTTTCTCTTCTTCTCTTTTTTTTAATGATTATTCATCATTCCATCTTCTCCATCCATACATTCCCTTTTTTTATCCAACATTTATCTTTTTTTTTATCATATAATCGGATCATCCGCTTTTTATCTTTTTCTTAATTTTCTAAAATCAATATTCTTAATCTTTGTAATCATTATTTTTGTATTCCATCTTATTCACCCATAGATTCCGTCGAATTATCCAAAAGTTATCTTTTTTTAATCTTTTTCTTAAATTTTAAAATCATTATCCTTTTATTCCATCTTATGCATTCAAAAATTCCCTCTTTTTATCTTTCTCTTAATTTTTTTTTATCAACATTCTTTTATCTATTTATTTTTAAATAATTATTCATCATTCCATCTTATTCATCCAGAAATTCCCTCGTTTTATCCATCATCTATATCTTTTTATCTTTCTCTTCTTCTTTTCTTTTTATCCAGCATTTATCTTCTTTTTTTATCTATTTATTTTTTAATCATTATTCATCATTCCATCTTATCCATCCACACATTCCCTCGTTTTATCCAACATTTATCTTCTTTTTTCATCATATATTCGGCTCATCCGCTTCCACACACATACACTGGGAGGCAAATAACCCTTCACACGCATGTTTATGTGTGCGGTGCTGCGGGTTTTAATTGTGAGCCTGCTAAATGACTGATAATTCCGCCGAAATTGGGTAATAAATATAAATAAAAGGGGAGAGAGAGAGAGGGAGAGAGGAGAGGAGGGGAGGAGAAGAGGGAAGGGGAGGGAGAGAGGAAGGGGAGGGGGGGAGGGGGGAGGGGGAGGGGGAGGGGGAGTGAGGGGGGGGAAGGAGGAAAGGGAGGTGGGTAAGCGAGGGAGAGAGGGTATGGGAGGGAGGGAAAGGGGGGAAAGAGGAGAGAGGAGGAGGAGAAAGGGAGGGAGGTAATGATAGGGCAAAAAGAGAGAAGGGAAGAGGAAAAAAAAGGGGGGGGGGTGGAAATAGAAAGGGAGGAGGAGAAGAAGGGAGGGAACCAGGGGGTGGAAGGGGAGGGAGAGAGAAGAAAGGGGAAGAAAAGGGAGAAATTAAGCGAAAAGCAGAGGGGGAGGAGAGAGATAAAGAGTGAGGGAGAGAGGAGAAAGGGGAGAGGGTTGAGAAAGAAAGGAATGGGAGGGGAGAGTGAGAGAGATGAGGAAGGGGAGGGGTAGAAGCGGATGGAAGGACGGAGAGAGGGAGAGGAGAGGGGCTTGGGACAAATGAATTAAAGCTATGTTCAAGATGAGTGTATTTTCCCAGTAACAGCAACAACCTTTCCTCCCCACCGCCAAAACCTTCTCCCCAGCCCCTTCCCTATCCCTCCTTCCCCGTCCCCAACCCCGTGGCCCAACCTCACCCGTCTACCCATCCGCCCACTTTCCCACCCCTCCCCATCCCCCACCTACTCCCCAGCTCTCAACCCCCACCCACCCCACCCACCCCCCTACCCTCTCCCCACCCACACTCACCAACGCTAACCGTAGCCATCGTGGAGCCGCCCATGCTGGCGCCCATGCCACTCGAGGACACGCACACGCCGCTGGGGAGACTTGTGGCGCACCTGCCCGCGCCTCCGAGGGGGGAGAGGCGCCCCCCGAGGAGGCTGCTGCTCATCTGTGGGGGAGAGGCAGGGGGGGGGGTGAGAGGGGGGTGGTGTTATTTGTGATGGTGATGTTTGTGATTGTGATGATGATAATCTGGAACTGTTTAATCATGATAATAATATACAACATCAGTACGATGATGACAGTGTTGATAATGGTAGTAACAACAAGAATGATGATAATGACAAATTTCTTGATGATAAACAAGAATAGCGATAATGCTGATAAATGAAGATAGAATCATAACAATATCAATTCGAATGATAATAATGTTAATAATGATAGCGGAGACGATAACAAAGATGATAATAATGAGGATAACAATGAAACTGACAATTTAATAACCAATAATAAACAAATAAGTTAAACTAATACAATACAACACCACCACCCACCTGATGATGATGCATAGCCAGCGAGGGCGGCGGGAAGGGCGCGGGCGTGATCATAGGGGCATGGGCGGCGGGGGGCGACGCTGAGGGGGAGCGGGGGGGGCGGCGACCCTCCTGGGCTGCTGCCGGAGCTGCTGGGAGTCTCGCGGGGAACGACGTAGTCGTCTGCTCCTGGAGGGGGAGGGGGGAGGGGGGGTTAATGCGGATGGGCTTTTGGGATCTGGTGTGCTTTTTAGAAATTGTTGTTAGTTTTCTGTGTTTAGAAAGTTAAGATGTTAGTTGTTAGTTTTAGAGGGTGTTAGAAATTGTTGTTAGTTTTAGAGGGTGTTAGAAAGTTAGTTTTAGAGGGTGTTAGAAATTGTTGTTAGTTTTAGAGGGTGTTAGAAATTGTTGTTAGTTTTAGAGGGGTGTTAGAAATTGTTGTTAGTTTTTAGAGGGTGTTTAGAAATTTTGTTAGTTTTAGAGGGTGTTAGAAAGTTAGTTGTTAGGTGGTGTTAGAAAATTGTTGTTAGTTTTAGAGGGTGTTAGAAATTGTTGTTTAGTTTTAGAGGTGTTAGAAATTGTTGTTAGTTTTAGAGGGTGTTAGAAATTGTTGTTAGTTTTAGAGGGTGTTAGAATGTTAGTTTTAGATTGGGTTAGTTAGAAGAAATTGTTGTTAGTTTTAGAGGTGTTTAGAAATTGTTTGTTTAGTTTTAGGGTGTTAGAAATTGTTGTTAGTTTTAGAGGGTGTTAGAAATTGTTGTTAGTTTAGAGGGTGTTAGAAATTGTTGTTAGTTTTAGAGGGTGTTAGAAAATTGTTGTTAGTTTTAGGGGTGTTAGAAATTGTTGTTTAGTTTAGAGGGTGTTAGAAAATTGTTGGAGTTTTAGGGTGTTAGAAATTGTTGTTAGTTTTAGAGGGTTTAGAATCTGGTGTTAGTTTTAGAAGGTGTTAGAATCTGGTGTTAGCATTAGAGGGTGTTAGAAATTGGTGTTAGTTTTAGAGGGTGTTAGAATCTGGTGTTGGTAGAATTAAGTGTTAGAAATTGGTGTTAGTTTTAAGAGGGTGTTAGAATCTGTGTTGGTAGACTTAGAAGGTGTTAGAAAGATCTGTTGTTAGACTTAGAGGGTGTTAGAATCTGGTGTTGTTAGAATTAGAGAGTGTTAGAAATTGGTGTTAGTTTTAGAGGGTGTTAGAATCTGGTGTTGGTAGAATTAGAGGGTGTTAGAATCTGGTGTTGTTAGAATTAGAGGGTGTTAGAAACTGGTGTTAGAATTAGAGGGTGTTAAAATCTGGTGAATATTGGTGTTTGGTAAGTAGAATTAGAGGTGTTAGAAGCTGGTGTTGGTAGAAGTTGGAAGGTGTTTAGAATCATGGTTTGGGTAGAATTGGAGGGTGTTGAATTAAGTAGAATTAGAGGGTGCTAGAATGGTAGAATTAGAGGGTGTTAAAATCTGGTGTTAGAATTAGGGGGTGTTGTTAGAGTCAGGTGTTAGATTCAGATGTTGCTAGAATTTGCTACTAGAATTAGAGGGTGTACTTAGAATTTGGAATTAGAATATGATGTTATGAATGGTTGTTATTAGAATATGATGTTCGAATTAGCTGTAATTTAATGTAATAATTCGATGCTTGACCTTGATCATGTTATGATATGGTGTTCGAATGTAATGGTGTCAGATTCAACTATTATTGGTAGAACTAGAAAGGTGTTAAAGCTGGAAAGAGGTTGTTCGTAAGAATTTTCTAGAATCAGACCTTATTCCTAAGATAATATATAACTAGATATATACTATATTATATTATATAATTATATATAATATATATATATAATATATATATATATATATATATATATATATATATATATATAATATCAAATATTACAATTAAATTAAAGATGTATTAAGATTAAAGATGTTATAGATAGGTATCATTAGTAGTATTAGAAATAATTTT